TCACAGGTGTATTGATTTGACTCTTTCCATAATCAACATATTTCTTCAACATTGATATGCCAATCACATTCTAAATTTTCTTCCTATTAGCTGTTTTATTCAGGTAATAGGTGTCACTGAATTGGCTCTTTACCTCGTTAAGAATCACACAAACAACGACTGAAACCAACCATGGGGAGGAGAACTAGTACACATTCTCCTGCCTGAAAAACTTATAAGTTTCCTTCATTTTAGACTGTGCATCAGAGAGGAAACTATGTGCTAGCTCACATGCAGTGTACAGCCTTTCCCTAAATTAATTTATACAGTCTAACACATTATGTTCTACAAGCAACGCTCCAGCAGCATCTTCAGTAGCCCACACACAGTGTGTCCAAAACCAACCTCAGCTGGGCTAAAACCCAACAATGACAGACCCTTATCTCACTCTGCTTTAGACTCGACACTATATTTGCGATGTATAGATTTCAAAGTCTTGTGGAATCTCTTTATCACATCCTAACCTTGTGGGTGATACGCACTGAACACTCACTGCTTAATAGCCAGCTCTGACATGACTTGTGTAAATTAAAAATAGTAGAGCACTCTCTCATAAGTTTACCTAATTCCTAAATAGCCAGGCAGATGGTGATCACAGGCAAAACCTGAAGACGGTAATCTTTTAGCACCACCACCTGAGTGTCCACATCACACTCTATTCCAGATTCTGAGGAATCTTTTCTTTGTATTTCAGTAAAATTCCATCACCGAATATGTATGACACGGCTGGGTCACATGGATTTTTTTCTGGACAGCAGACAAACAGGTAATCATAGTTGCATTGGAGAGCTTTAATAAGCTGCACTCTATAGCCAAACACAAACGATTGGTATCAGTGGCACTATTTTATTTCCCACACCAACAAATCTGAACCATAGGAAATCTGGTCAGAAAAGGCACTGCACCACATTGTGTCATAGGTATCTCTTAAAATAGTGATGGGAACTTGGTCCACCACAGTGCCAGTCAGTGAGATAATACCTTCAGAAAGTGAAAGACTTGAATACTTTAAAAAAAAAAAAAAAAAAAAAAGCACTCTCATGAGTCAGGACAGCAGCTTTTGCGAAAGACTCAACCTCAAACCATAACACACTCAAGTTGTTTTTGCTGGCCTTTCTTTAAAAGTCATCACATGCCACTGCTATACACTGTTACGGCCACTTGGTAGTGTATCTCAGTCAGTGGTGATACATTTTCTCATTTTGAGAAAGAAATCAAGCTAAAAAGTATGTAAAGAAATCAGACCCTACTGCTTGATAAATGGTTATTCAGATGTACTGTCTCTTGCCTGCAGATATCATTTTTCAAGCATTTAGATGAGAATGTATAAACCTCTTAATATATTTTTCTTCACTACTTATTTAGTCTCCATTCACAACACACATGCAAAACAAACCTATAAACTGCAACCAAGTTAACTCCTTTCTGCATTTCCCTGTTCTACAAGTGTAGTACTGGTGTATTGTAAACACTGTCATAGCATCAAGGTTCTGATTTCAAACATGCTTGTGGCCTCTGTTGACTGTCAGTCAAAAATAATACAAGTTTATCTAAATTAACTGTTGATCCTAACTGTCTGAAGTGTTGGGTGTGAGTGTTAAATGCCAAATTTGTAACTTGTACAATTTGTAGTCAAATAAAAAATGCTTTTCCTCATTTTGCCTACTTAGGGTTATAAGTCTAAAATGAATCTGGAAAGCCTTTTTTTCACGAGAACGGAGAGCTGAAAACTCCAAACATTTTACTCATTTACTTTGAATTATATATAACAATTAACAATATATACGATTAACTAATGAAGAAAATTTTCTTGAACATCTAACATAGTACCTGCCAGCATGGATATAATTTTTAGTAAAGTTTCCACTCTAGCGTTTATGTAAGTATATAAAAAAAAATTATAAAAAAATAAGTAGTATGATCGTAAAACAGACTATGGCATATTTACAATAAACATGCACCCAGAAAAATGTTATCAGCTATTAACAGGTTTAAATTCTACAAATTAAATTGATAACAGTGGTGGACAAAACAAGCTTTTTAGATGTTTAGAAATTTCCTTCATTTTAAGCCCATATATGAATGGATTAAATAAAGGTTGATACAAAGCTAGTTGTAATGTCATTATTAAGCGTGCAGTTTTTGGAAAATCTGTTTCCATTCGAGCCATGATCACATCATAGATACCTAAACAGGAAAAAGTAATTAAAACTAACATGTGGGGTAAACAGGTCTCTGCAGCTTTTTTCTTAATTTCTTTACAGCTGCGATAAGTGACTATAAATATTTTTGTATATGTGAAAACTATAAAAAGTATAGGAAATACTACGAGATCTAAATAACTAACAATTCCAAATACAGTAACTAACCTTGATTTTACACACTGAAGAGTGTAAATTGTATTGTTACAAAATATTGATTTTAAATGAAAGGAACACAGTTTACTTTTAGCCATTCCTATTGCTTGGACGGCAATATTAGAAGCAGGTACAAGCCAAGCTATGACCAGGAAAATACTCACAGTGCTTTTTCTCATGATGGTTGGATATTGTAGAGGTTTACATATAGCCACATATCTGTCATAGGCCATGGCTGCCAAGAGAAAAAACTCAGAACAACCTAGAGAATAAATTATGAAAAACTGAAAGACACATGCTGAATATGATATGATTTGTTTTTCAGATAAAAAGTCAATCAGGAGTTTTGGGTAAACAGTTGTGCTGTAAATAACAACATTCAGTAGCAATGCTGCAATAAAAGTGTACATAGGTTTGTGGAGATTTTTGTGGATCAAAATGAGGTATATAATAATAGAGTTACTGCAAGTTATTAGAATATATAATGTGAACATAATAAAAAAATAAACATATCTGTATTTGTTAATTTCCACATGTCCATCAAAAGTTATATAGGTAACATTTAATTCTTCATCCATTGATGTTTTTTTAAAACTACAAAATGTTTCATTAAACAAATTGCACAAGGTGGATAAATGGAAAATACTGAAAAATGCACCATCACGCAAACAGTGAGCAGTTACAGTGTGTGGAAGGTTTTTATCAGACAAATTAAGCCTCCAAGGAGCTGAACATTGGAGGTTCATCTCACCCTTTTCACTCTCTTTTGCTTAGCACTGCAGGACTTCAACACAAATTCTTTTTAGCTGAGATCTTAAATCTTACACAGTGGAGTAGAATAAACTAGTTCAACTTGAGAAATGTGGAATTTAGGATGGAGGCAAAGAGTGGCAGTTAACATTAAAAGGTGTAAAAAAAAAAAAAAAGGTACAAGATATTGAAAATAAGCAGACCTCAGTGCAACAAAGTGTATTTCCAACACTGAAAGGCACAGAGGCCAACTTTAACATTGCAAGGTGTAAAAACAAGTACAAGACTTTTTACTTTTACTTGAGTACATTTGTGAAGAACTGTACTTTTACTCCGCTATATTTGCAAAATTTGACTCATTACTTTTAAAAAAAAATAATTAGTTTAACACATTAGATAGCATGCCGCCAGTGGAGTTTCCCGTAACTTTTTTACCAATCAGATGAGGCCATGCAGTCACATGACCAGTTTGAAACTGTGGCGGGCAGAGCGGCCCAAGCGTTTCAAAGTAGCGGACACACGGAAAGATGACTCATTGTCACGGTTTGCTTGAGGACTCACATGCAGGACTCAGAGGCACAGTCAGTATTTATTACAGTTCCACCAGGTGTATATACAAACAGTGCAGGGGATAGTGCTATATACAAAGCGGTGACAGGGAAAGGGCTCCGGGGAAATCCAGGTAGGGAAAAGACACTTGCTCCTCTTCTGGCTCTCTCTCCAAACACTCACACAAAAGGGAATCTGCTCGGGGGATGCAGGGTCGGGTCCAGGGGATGCGAGTCACACACAACGATCCAGCGATGAGTAGAAGCCACACCCTGGCTTAAATGCTGGCTGCGCTGATGAGGCCCAGGTGTTTCCTCTTCAGAGGGGCGTGGGCCAAGGACGTGAACCCACCATGAGTTCCGCCCTGGCGAGAGAGAGAACACTACTAGTCAGCGGCCTGCTGATCCTCTGGCCGTGACACCCATGAAATAACTCCAAATAACTTTTTGTGAAAGAAATAGACAGAAAATATTGTGAAAATTGGTTTATTTTATATCTCCTAGTTTTAACTGAAGAGATAAAAACATGTATGAAATATCACAAACTGCAGTATTGCATAAATGCTTACATCCTGCTGATACAATGGAGACATCTTCTAGTGACAGTGTACATCCGTGTGTGTGTGAGGAGGTTCCTAAACTCACTGACACAGAAATGGATGTCCACAACTCCCTCTGTGCAGGTGGGGTCAGGACCCTCCTCATGTTGGGTGAAGAGGGGTGGTGCTGGGGCCGGTCAGATATAAAGTGCTGAGAGTGGATCTTTGGTCCTCTGTGCAGCTCTGTCCACTCTCAGCTGTTCCAGGATTGCTAAAGACACTGCCCTGCAAAGCAATAACACAAGAAAGTTGTCATTTTAACACAAAACAGATTTTCATTGTTGGTTGTTGCAACAATTTAAATGTTGTTAAATGGTAAATGGCCTGCATTTATATAGCGCCTTACTAGTCCCTAAGGACCCCAAAGCGCTTTACATATCCAGTCATCCACCCATTCACGCACACATTCACACACTGGTGATGGCAAGCTACATTGTAGCCACAGCCACCCTGGGGCGCACTGACAGAGGCGAGGCTGCCGGACACTGGCGCCACCGGGCCCTCTGACCAGTTAAACACAATTTAAATCCAACATACACACATGAAAACTAAATAAACTTAAACCTACAGTGCTGCTGACATCAAACCATGATTTATACCAACTACTGGAAGAATTTAGTCTTCCAAGACTAAATGTATGATAACTTACATAGTTGGAAAACAGCACCACTCTCCGGTTTGTCCTTTGGTCATCCATCTTTCTCATCAGGTCATGGTAAGGCTGTCGTCTGGGTGGGGTGTTGAGTGTCTGAAGTGCTGAATGCTGGGAGATGAAAAGTGTAAAGCAGCTTTATTGAATTTAAAGACAAAAAATAAAAATATGAATTCACAGATCACTGATTTGTTAAATTTACTTTTCTTCTCATGTGTTTTTATCTTACCTCTGATCCCTTAGCCACAGGCTATACCTTATGTAAAAAGAGACTACTGTCAGTTCACTACATCATTTTTAAACCTTTTCTACTTATTTGTGTTGACATTAAGTATGGGCTGTCATGGCTAACCGATGGACACACCTGCAGCCGGAGTTCTGGCAAGCAAAAGGTGACAGTTTATTTACAAAACGGGAATCCACACACGCGCTCTCCTCTTCAGCACAATAACCGCCGCTACTCATGCTGCCACACTCAGGGATCACAGGGAAGGGTACTTCACCAGCTCCGGGGAAATGTGTACACAGAGAGCACGATTAGATCCAACAGGCAAAATACACAGAGAGAGTTTGCTCAAGCTGTGATTCAATGTTCCAGCGAAGACTGCTTCGTGCCGAACACTCATACGGAGCTCCAGCAGATCAGCAACAGATGGAGGCAATCACCGCAGGTGCATGGGTCAAGAGGGAGAGCCCACAATGAGCTGCGCCCAGGCAAGCAGGAGAGATTGATTTTCAAAAACACATTTATTCACTTAATAGTGAATCATACAAAAATTCTGCTCAAACCAACACATTGCTAAATAAAAGTTCAGAGTTATTTAAAGTAAAGAGACTACCTTTATAGTCCTCTTGCTTTTTAATCTAATGACTGCACTGACTTCTTTTTCATTAAATGCTTTTCTTTGTAATCTGATGTATGTCATGCATGTATTATTTTAAGACAGGTGGGGATTATGTGTCCTCACTCTGTCTTCACCATTAATGACCTATTTACTTGGGTGTGACTTAACCAATGAACCAGTACAAACCTGTTATATGTCAGCTGGTTTATCCATGAAGATGTGATTGGTTAATTGGAATTTTTTTCTGTTTACTGTTTTTAATTTAAGCACACTTCTACTATGTAGCACAGATTAACTAATTTGTCTGGACCTGTGGCTGCAGAATGTGTGAGGTGGTGAGAAGACCCAAACACAGGAGAAAAGGAACTACTTAGCAAAAAGCGAGCTGTTTATTTAGGCTGAACATTAAGGTACAAAGAAAATCCCCCAACCAACCAAACAAACAAATAAACTAAACTGGGAAAATACTAGGGACATGGACCCCGAGAGACACAAAAACTGATGAGAAGAGAATCGGACAAGGGTCAAGAGGCTACTGAGAAAATTTATACACAAGGGGAAGAATAGACGAGTGGAGACAGCTGGGAAACACAGCAGAAACAAATAAGATATAATGAGAGACAAGGAGTATCGAAAACATATGAACGTCACACTAGGACAGGGATTAGGGAACACTGCAACATGACAGACTAGAGAGACAAGGACGAAACACAAAAAGAGAGGAACATGGGAACAGGTAAGAGAGACAAAACACAGAGATATGAGTAAGACCTAGAGCGAGAGAAATAGAGAGAGACCGCTAGAGAGGGAGAGCGATAGACAGAAAGAGAGAGAGAGAAAGAGAGAGAGAGAGGGTCACACAGAGAGGCAAAGTGAGCAAGACAGAGCGAGAGAGCGAGAGAGTGACACAAGGAGGTACACTAAAATGGAGACAAGACACTGAGGACAAGACAGAATGAGAAAAGCTAAAGTAAACTAAATACCCTAAAATAAACCTGAATCAACGGGGATAAACTGCATAATCAGAAGAATATAAGAACAAGAAAGATTAAAGATTAAATTACCAATAATCATCCCACAGATGTAATATTATCTACAGCTACTCTTAGTACCATTGATGTTAGGTTAGACTCTTTTTCTCCAATTGATCTTTCTGAGTTAAGTCATAATTACTTCCTCCAAACCATCAACGTGTCTTTTAGACCCCATTCCTACAAAACTGCTCAAAGAAGTCCTGTCATTAATTAATTCTTTGATCTTAAATATGATCAACCTATCTCTAATAATCAGCTATGTACCACAGGCCTTCAAGCTGGCTGTAGTTAAACCTTTACTTAAAAAGCATCTCTAGACCCAGCAGTCTTAGCTAATTATAGGCCAATCTCCAACCTTTCTTTCATATCAAAAATCATTGCAAGAGTAGTTGTCAAACAGCTAACAGATCATCTGCAGAGGAATGGTTTATTTGAAGAGTTTCAGTCAGGTTTCAGAGTTCATCACAGCACAGAAACAGCTTTAGTGAAGGTTACAATCTTCTTTTGGCCTCTGACAGTGGACTCATCTCTGTGCTTGTCCTGCTAGACCTTAGTGCAGCATTCGATACTGTTGACCATAATATCCTATTAGAGCGATTAGAACATGCTGTAGGTATTACAGGTACTACACTGCAGTGGTTTGTATCATATCTATCTAATAGACTCCAATTTGTACATGTAAATGGAGAGTCCTCTTCACACACTGAGGTTAATCATGGAGTTCCACAGGGTTCAGTGCTAGGACCAATTCTGTTTACACTATACATGCTTCCCCTAGGCAGCATCATTAGAAGACATGGCATAAATTTTCACTGCTATGCAGATGACACCCAGCTCTATCTGTCCATGTAGCCAGATAACACACACCAATTAGTTAAACTGCATGAATGTCTTAAAGACATAAAGACCTGGATGGCCGCTAACTTTCTGCTTCTTAATTCAGATAAAACTGAGGTTATTGTACTCGGCCCTGAAAATCTTAGAAATATGGTATCTAACCAGATTCTTACTCTGGATGGCATTACCTTGGCCTAACGCTGTGAGGAACCTTGGAGTCATTTTTGACCAGGACATGTCCTTCAACGCACATATTAAACAAATATGTAAGACTGCTTTCTTCCATTTGCGCAACATCTCTAAAGTTAGAAATATCCTGTCTCAGAGTGACGCTGAAAAACTAGTTCATGCATTTATTACTTCCAGGCTGGACTACTGCAATTGATTATTATCAGGATGTCCAAAAAACTCCCTGAAAAGCCTTCAGCTAATCCAAAATGCTGCAGAAAGAGTCCTGACAGGGACTAGAAAGAGAGAGCATATTCCTCCTGTTTTGGCTTCCCTTCATTGACTTCCTGTTAAATCCAGAATTGAATTCAAAATCCTGCTCCTCACATACAAGGTCTTAAATAATCAGGCCCCATCTTATCTTAATGACCTTGTAGTACCATATCACCCTATTAGAGAACTTCGCTCTCGCTCTGCAGACCTACTTGTTGCTCCTAGAGTATTTAAAAGTAGAATGGGAGGGAGAGCCTTCAGTTTTCAGGCCCCTCTTCTGTGGAACCAGCTTCCAGTTTGAATTCAGGAGACAGACACTATCTCTACTTTTAAGATTAGGCTTAAAACTTTCCTTTTTGCTAAAGCATATAGTTAGGGCTGGACCAGGTGACCCTGAATCCTCCCTTAGTTATGCTGCAATAGATGTAGGCTGCCGGGGATTCCCATGATGCATTGAGTTTTTCCTTTCCAGTCACCTTTCTCACTCACTATGAGTTAATAGACCTCTCTGCATTGAATCATATCTGTTATTAACCTCTGTCTCTCTTCCACAGCATGTCTTTATGCTGTTTTCCTTCTCCCACCCCAACCGGTCGCAGCAGATGGCCGACCCTCCCTGAGCCTGGTTCTGCCGGAGGTTTCTTCCTGTTAAAAGGGAGTTTTTCCTTCCCACTGTCGCCAAAACGCTTGCTCATAGGGGGTCATATGACTGTTGGGTTTTTCTCTGTATTTATGAAGCGCCTTGAGGCGACTTTTCTTGTGATTTGGCACTATATAAATAAAATTGAATTGAATTGAAGCAGCTAAACTAAGAAACTGTTGAGGGAGAGAGAAGACAATATGCTCCAATTTTAAGTTTTCAAAATTTATCATCGAAATATTTAGAATTTTTAATTGTTTTACATGGCGCCATGGATCTCCTTTCTCTCGCTCAGAAACAAAGGTACTGTGCCAGGGCGGTATACACTTTTATGAATCAAAGAAACTGAATGTTAACATGATTGGTCAAATGAGTTGAGAGTGGCCTTAGGTCTCATACCAGCACATGTTTCTTCTTCTGCAGCTCTCTGGGCATCTCGTTATATGGAGACGCCCTTTTGCAGGCAACACCCTCGTTACCATGACAACCACCTCTTACGCTCTGGTCAGGCCTGTAGAGTTAAAGAAGGGGTGTAGAGTGCATGCCATAACAACAGATTTATGATCAATGCCACATTCCTGTGAGGGTTTGTGAGGAAGTGCTGTATCTGATAGCATCAGAGTAACACTCTACTTCCAAAACCTACCTACAATACACTCTATACAGTATGGAAAAAAACAGAAATTTGCAATGCCAATCATGAGGTATTAGCCCTAAAGCAAACAAACATTTGATATGTTTCTCATGTTCTATTGTGAGTAAAATATGGGTTTATGAGAATGGCAAATTATTAAATTCTGTTTTGTTTTTTTGTTTTTTACATTTTACACAGTGTCCCCAGTTTTTGTAACTGGGATTGTACTTTTCAAGATTGTTTTTCTACATACATCTGTTTGGTTTATAACCCACAGAGAACAATAATATGTGACAAGAGATGAAGATGCAGGGCCTTAAGCAACAGTTATAAAGTGTTACTACCTATTCCATCTATGTTGCACTTGTAGCATATTGCAAATAAGAATCAGTAATAAAGTAAAAATGAAAAAATATAAAAAAGTTGAAAAACATTTATCTGAAAATGGATCAGAACTGATACATTTATTAAAGATAATTCCATGTTGATTGATGAAAATATATAATTAACACCTCCATTTTTGAGAGCATTCTTTATTTACAGCATTTTTTTCTCACCTGCCTGAAACTTTTGCACAGTACTGTATGTGTATATTTATATATATATATATATATAAGCAGCTGGATAGCGTAGTGGTTAGACTACACGCCTTTGGAACAGAGGATCGCAAGTTCGATTCCTGCCTGGGGCGTCTGTATCCAGTAAGGGTCCTAAGGCTAGACCCCCTATGCTAAGCAAGCCTACCGCAGACATGAGCGAGACAGATAAATATGAAGGCATGCCGGCTCGGACGTCGCCCGGATCAACAAGGTCCGCGTCAGGTGTTGAGGAACCAGGGCACCCTGACGAAAAGTGGGCTACTGGAACTGGAACAAGAAGGCATCGGTGGGCAAGAGACGAAAACAGGGCGTTGTTGGAATGCTACTACGCAAGTAACCCCGGCGGAAGGGGCTACATGAATAGGATGAGGGACCTATGGATTCTTCGATACCCAACAT